TTGAGCTCAGGAGTTTGAGGTTGCAGTAAGCTATGATTGCACCATGCAACACAATAAGACCCTGTCTCAAAAAAAAAATTGATTAATTGAAAACTAATTGAAATTTTGGAAAGAAACCATTACACTTAAAGTCAATTGATACCCTATCTTTTTGATAATAGACATCCTAACAGGTGTGGGGTAATATCTCATTGTCATTTCAATTTGTATTTTCCTGATGATTACTAATGTCAAGCATTTTTTTGTGTATTTTCAGCCATTCATATGTCTTATGTCTTTTTATTTTTTTGTTACTTGTGTTCTTGTTATCTAGTTGTTTGAGTTCATTGAATATTTTCGATATTAACTCCCTGTCAGATGTATGATCCCCAAATATTTTCTCCCATTCTGTAGATTGTTTCTTTATTCTATTGATTGTTTCCTGTGCTGCATTTAAGCTTTTAGTTTGATGAAAGCCCATTTGTCTATGTTTACTTCTGTTCCCTGTGCTTTTGGGGTCATATCCATAAAATCTTTGCTAGACTAATGTCAAGAAGCTTTTCAGCTCTTACATTTAAGCATTTAACCAATTTCAAGTTGATTTTTATATATGGGGTGAGATAGAGGTGCAATTTCATTCTTTTGCATGTGGATATTAGGTTTTCCCAACAGTATTTTCTGAATAGAGTATCTTTCTATTGCATGTTCTTGACATGTTTGTGGAAGATTCGTTCATTGTAAATCCATGGATTCATTTCTGGGCTCTCTATTTTGTTCCAGTGGTTGATAATGTCTATCTTTGTCCTTAAAAAGTTGAACTCTGCTTAGGAAATGACGTGTTAAAAAAAAGGAAAAGGAAAAAAGAAAAAACGTTAAACTCATAGAAGCAGAGAGTAGAATGGTTGTTACCCAGGGCTGGGTGTGGGGAAAGAATGAGGCAGATGTTGGAGAAATTATGGGGAGAATGAGGCAGATGTTAGTCTTAAACTCCTGGACTCAAGCAGTACTCCAGCCTTGGCCTCCCAAAGTGCTGGGATTACAAACATGAACCACTGTGTCCAACCATGAATAGACTTTTCAACAAATGGTGGTGAGGCAATTGGATATTCACGTACAAATAAATTAATTTGTGTCCCTGCCTAACACCATACACAAAAATTAACTGAAAATGGATCACAGACCTAAATGTTAAAAACAAAAACAGACGTCCGTGGTCCTTGTCACTCGCCGCAGAGTCTGGCGCCCAGGAAGAGGTGGTTGAAAGGAAAAACGAACTTGCAGCTCTCCGGCTTCCGAGTTGTTGGAGGAAGGGGGCGGTGAGCAAGAAGAATCCACTGCACCCCGGTTCTCAGCGACTCTCCTGCGGACCTCCTCGCGACGTACCCGCCGCCGCTGTTGGCTGGAGCATTTGACATTGTGCAGCAAAGAAATGGTTATGGAGAAGCCCAGTCCGCTGCTGGTAGGGTGGGAGTTTGTGAGGCAATATTATACTTTGCTGAATAAATCTCCAGAATATTTACACAGATTTTATGGCAGGAATTCTTTCTATGTTCATAGTGGAGTAGATGCTACTGGAAAGCCCCAAGAGGCTGTTTATGGCCAAAATGATATACACCACAAAGTATTATCTCTGAACTTCAGTGAATGTCATACTAAAATTCGTCTTGTGGATGCTCATGCAACCTTGAGTAATGGAGTAGTTGTCCAGGTCATGGGTTTGCTGTCTAAAAGTGGACAACCAGAAAGGAAGTTTATGCAAACCTTTGTTCTGGCTCCTGAAGGATCTGTTCCAAATAAATTCTATGTTCATAATGATATGTTTCATTATGAAGATAAAGTGTTTGGTGATTCTGAGCCTGAACTTGATGAAGCATCAGAAGATGAAGTAGAAGAGGAACAAGAAGAAAGACAACCATCTCCTGAACCTATGCAAGAAAATGCAAACAGTGGTTACTACGAAGTTCACCCTGTGACTAATGGCATAGAGGAGCCTTTGGAAGAATCCTCTCATGAACCTGAACCTGAGCCAGAATCTGAAACAAAGACTGAAGGGCTGAAACCACAAGTGGAGGAGAAGAACTTAGAAGAATTAGAGGAGAAGTCTGCTACTCCTCCTCCAGCAGAACCTGTTTCTCTGCCACAAGAACCACCAAAGGCTTTCTCCTGGGCTTCAGTGACCGGTAAAAACCTGCCTCCTAGTGGTACTCTTTCTTTCTCTGGAATTCCACCCCATGTTAAAGCACCAGTCTCACAGCCAAGAGTTGAAACTAAACCAGAAGTTCAATCTCAGCCACCTCGTGTGCGTGAACAGCGACCTAGAGAGCGAACTGGTTTCCCTCCTAGAGGACCAAGACCAGGCAGAGGAGATATGGAACAGAATGACTCTGACAACCATAGAATAATTCGCTGTCCAGATAGTCATCAACTTTTTGTTGGTAACTTGCCACATGATATTGATGAAAATGAACTGAAAGAATTCTTCATGAGTTTTGGAAACGTTGTGGAACTTCGCATCAATACCAAGGGTGTTGGGGGAAATCTTCCAAATTTTGGCTTTGTGGTTTTTGATGACTCTGAACCAGTTCAGAGAATCTTAATTGTGAAACCGATTACGTTTCAAGGACAAGTTTAAATGTGGAAGAGAAAAAAAACAAGAGCTGCAAGAGAGCGAGAAACCAGAGGTGGTGGTGATGATCGCGGGGATATTAAGCGCAATAATTGAGGTCCTGGTGGTCCACGTGGAGTTGTGGGTGGCGGAATGATGTGTGATCGTGATGGAAGAGGACCTCTTCCAAGGGGTGGCATGGCACAGAAACTTGGCTCTGGAAGAGGAACCGGGCAAATAGAAGGCCGCTTCACAGGACAGCGTCGCTGAAGCTCCACTGTTGGCAGAGTCTTGACAGTGGTACAATATTCATCGTGTTTGCAGTCTTGTTAATTTGATTTTTTGTCTTTGGAATGTGACACAGCCTTTTTGATCATTTCTTTGATGTGAAAAGCATCTTTTGGTTATCAGTTAAATTGAGGTGGACATTATTTCCCCAGTTTCACAACAGGATTCACATTGTTAATTTATAAATCTAGACTTGGAGAATTAAGGACTGAGAACTGACCATATTTTAAACTATCTA